GTTGTCTAAATTACATGTGATTTTGATATTGGGATTGCTTCCGCTGCATATAATAATCCATCAGGAACAAGTTGTAATATTAAAACAGATGTATAAATGGTCTCTTAGGAACATGATTTTTTTTATGCCTACTTGACCATATATCTTTCTTTCGCTTGGATGAATACACTGTTTTAGTTACCAGTTTATATAATTAAATGAAGCTTTAGGTTCCTGTCGAACCAACTTGTACTATGAATTAACATTTCTAACGTACGATTATATCAACTTAACTAAACACAACTTCTTGTTTCATGATGTGAAAAATAAACTAGCTAGGACTAGTTGTAGTATCTAGTTGTTTCTTTCTTTCCAAAACTGAGTGTTAGAGAGGATTCTATCACTTTCTCATTTATTTTGGGGGATTTATTACAATACGACATAGTACCAGTTTGAAAGATTACGAAACATGTCACCTCAAAATATAAAAAATCGCAAGTTTCCCTTCTCTTAACTTCTAAAAGGTTGTTGATATCTCAAAATAATCAAGAAACATTTTTTTAAGTCATACTTAACGAAGTTGGAAAAGGATATCCTAGTACCACTAGAGCTTAAATCATGTTTACGTAAAATAGGGCGGCTCCACGAATTTTGTGGCCTAAAGTCAAATTAAACTTTATGAGGGGCATTAATTTTTTTTAAACAAAATTATTATTTATTTAAAGTTTATTTTTTAATTTTTTTTAGATACAAAGTTATTAATAATTTTCTTATAATCAATAACTCTTAATAAGTATTTCTCATTTGACAATATAGCTATTCCATTTAACCTTTCTTGTCACATTAGATCTTAGGTAAGATTTTATCAATTTTAATTTTGAAAAATTCTTTTCGTTGAGGCAACGTAACATAAGTTATTAACATTATTCCATAAGCTATTTAGGCATTTGAAAAAGAATTAAATCTTTTTGTTTGACTAAGTGTATCAATTAAACTGTTACCTTCTAATTGTACTATTTTCCTTAATACTTTTAATTCAGAAAAAAGAAATCTAAACCATCAATATCGAATTGGTTATTATGCTTTAAGAATATTCAAGATTAAGACAGTATTTTTTCAAATTTTCAACATCTAGTGATCTTAGTTTTTAACGCCAAATAGAAAACTAAAAATATTTTCATATGCTTCGAATTGTTCAAATCAATTTTGAAGTGAAAAAATAGCCTTGTCTATTATGTATAAAAGTAATCAACGCTAAAAGACTCTTAGCAAGATTTTGAGATTTCATTATCAGCATTCGCATCAAATTGTTGCTTCCTATTCATACTTCTTACGAAATTCGGGTTCGATATTTATTTCAAGTGTAATTTCCTTGGTAGAAATCATAGCAGTTGCAAACCCTTTTTCTCTATATTTGTTATAAAGAAAGAAATCAAACTTTTTCACTTTACAGAATTTTTTTAAAAACTTATACATAGTTTATTAGGTGTAAGGAAAAATGTGGCCCCTCAAATATGGAGCCTAAAACAATTGTTTTACTTGCTTTTATGGAAGGGCCGCTCCCGTGTAAAACTGAAGTCTATGTGTTTGGTTGGATTTTGATAGTAGTTTACTTTCAACAAGGCAATAGGTAATATACTTCAGGATGCTGGCATATCCTTAGCGTTTTGCATATTCAGAATACTAAACAAGTTGCTGGAAGAAGACCTTTTAGTGCATTAATGTATTCTTACTACTAATTAAAATCTGTCACAATCATTAGATTATCCAGCAGTGTATAACAATTGGTGACTCTTCAATTGTTTTAAGGGCATGACATAATCATATTCATAGTACAAACACTACAGGACACAATCAAACCATGTTGATATTACTGTATTTGTTCTTTTGTTCTGATGCTATTTCGTTGAAGTTGCTAGATTCTTAAAAGGTTGTTGAAAACTCAAAGTAATCAAGAAACATATTTTTTAAAGCATGACTTGACCAAGTCCAATAATAATATTCATGTTAAGAGAAGGATATACAAAACTTGAACTTTCTGTGTTTGGTTGGATTTTATTTTTTTTATAGTTGTAGTTTATTATCAACAAGGCAATGGGTAATAAACTACAGGATGCTGGCATATCCATAGCATTTTGCAGATTGGGATGTAACTTCTTAGGGGTCGTTTGGTAATAAGCAAAAATAATCTTGGAATAAGAATTTTGTACCGTTTTATTCCTTGTTTAGTTACTAATTCTGGACAAGTTAACCCAAGATTAAAAATGGTACTGTGATTACTTATTCCTACCAAATGGTGGGATAATAATCTCAGGATAAGTTATCCCAGGATAAAGCAGTAAAATTGATAATCTCAAAATTAATACAACATACCAAATAATCAATAAAAATAATATCAGGATAATTAATCCCTACATAACTAATTTCAGTATAGCTAATCTCAGTATAACTTATCTTCAAACTAAACAACCCCTTAGTGAATTCATTTTTTCTCACTAATAAAACTGTCACATTCATTTGATTATCCAGCAGTGTATATCAATTAGTAACTTCAACTGTTTTAAGGACATGTATTATCATATTCATAGTACGTCTACTCCACGACACAATCACACCATGTTGATAACACTGTACTTTCTGTACTTGTTCTTTTCCATAAAGCCAATTGGCAGTAATAGCTAGTTTTTTCATTCAAGAAACAATACAATGTGTCACACATTCATTGTTTTTTNTTATAACACTGTACTTTCTGTACTTGTTCTTTTCCATAAAGCCAATTGGCAGTAATAGCTAGTTTTTTCATTCAAGAAACAATACAATGTGTCACACATTCATTGTTTTTTATCAGAAATATTGATGAAGAAGAAAATATCATTCGAACAAATCAGCAAGTTTCTCAATTCCTGAAAACATACCCAGGACAAAGATCAAAAAAGGATTCTAAAAAGGACAGTGGATAGATTTCACCTGATTCTGGGTGAAGTCACTTCATTTCAAGTTACTGTTACTTTTATGTCGGTGTTTTATCTTTTTTCACTAAGGTGATGTTGATAGCACATCTGCCACAAACACTTATGGTACTATGAATAATGACGACACATTTTTTATGGACCATTCTAATCTCAGCCCTTTTGTTTTATATGGGAGTGTCAAATTTGCAACAATTTTTCCTCAACTTTTCTATTTTTCATGTCTTTTGGACGTTTCTACTCTGATTGCAGCAATCAACTCTTCCAACACCCCTTTCGTAATGGCAATGTTTTTCTTCAGTTATTCATTTTTATGAAGAATTCTCCTTATACAGCCCACCCAAACGGCCCCTGAAGTGAAAAATATCTTAAGTGGAAGAAAGGAACATACAAAGACGCGAGATGAAATTGCAGCAGTCAATCCATGTGTTAAACAGTACATTTACTATAAATTGGGAATTCCAACTTGGCAGCTATGCGTACCCTGAGCAGCAATAATGTATACGCAGACCTTACCTCTATCCCAGGAGTAATATGCGACTATGCGTACCCTGAGCGATACCGATTTATGTAAGAACCTATTTATTCCACCAAAATAAAGAACACTTGTGTCATAAAACTTGTATTCTAACATCCACTAACAGACAGCATTACCAGCAGTGACATCCAACAGAGGTAACAAAGTCTTAATATCTCAGCATCCCAGTAGAACATCCAACAAAGGGTAGAAAATACACATAAGCTGAATAAAGGATACTAATCCGTAAGACTAAAACACTACATATGAAAATGGCAAGCAGCTTATGAGAAAGTTGTATTGTATTCCATACGCCATTGCAGCTTGAAATATGACAGTTGATCTACTCTTTCTGATAAAAGGAACGCAAGGCAAGCGCTACGCCCAATATCAACAATGGTAACAAGAATTGCAATATCTTCGATAAATTTCCAGAACCCTGGTTTCCAGCGGGTGGTGGCGTTGCAGGCGGAGTATATTTGCGCTCAACAGGAAGGGTAGAACTGTCAATCTCACCAACGTAGTATTTCTTCATCATCTCTCTTGCATCATCACTGTGACCAACATCTTCAAAATCATCTGTTGCATCCTTCCCTATTTACCACACAAATTTAACACGTATCATATCTCAATTAGTATGTCGGCCAGAGGCAGATGCAAGGTATCGGTACCAGGTTCAACAGAACCCGGTACTTTTGGCGTGTAACATAAATTTATGTGTAAAGATTCATTAATATTGCAATATATAGCAATACGAAGCCATAATTTAAAAAATACAATGGGTTCAATGCTAAAAACTTTATAGGTTGAACCCACAAAACTTAACTCTTAGATCCGCCTCTGATGTCGGCTCACGAAAACTACTAAGATACCCTCTAAGTGGTTAGTCTTACCTGTTGCAGTCAGCAAGACATCATCACCTCCAGGATGATCATCCAGAAATGAGGTTACATTATAAACCTAAGATCAAGTTGTCAAACATGATATCAAAAGACAATAGGATATTAAATGATAGCAACAGTAAACAACAATTAGAAAAACACGGATAAAACAATGCCGCCAGCGTAGGAGGTTTTGCTTTATGCCTGTTGACAACAGTATTTATTTCCATAGGTTAAATAGAGTCTATGTCAAGAACCAAAAGTGATGACAACTATGTAATATTACAGATTCAGGTTCTGATGTATTCGTTAATCTGGATTTCTTACCTTATGCAACATCTAGAAATCTTAGAGAACATGAAACCATTCTAAAATGCATCATGGTCAGTTAACACTAAAAATTGGAAGTGCAGAAACGGCTTCAAGCTATAACATTCAAGTCGAGCATTTTTACGTCAGTGGATATACCAAACACAGCAGCAAGTATGAAATATCATAAGACAGGGAATGAGAGAGACCGTTCATACTAAAGAATCACATTATAAGAGTGAGCAGGAGAGACGAAATAGCACGGTCCTCCCCACAAGAGGAAAAACTTCTCTCCATGTATTTGTGTATGGACAATGTAGCCATTACATGGAAAACAATGTATGTGTAACTCGGGATTGATTAAGAGGCCGTTTGGACATAATTTTTTTTCCTTTTATCCAAAAAAAATTCACTTTTTTTCGAAATCAGCGTTTGTTCATAAAATTTTCAATTTTTATTTGAAGATGCATTTTGGAAATTTTCGAAAATTTGAAAAACTCCAAAAAACTGGTTTTCAAAATTTTCACTCAAATCACTCACAAAACAACCCAAACTGAAATTCATGTCCAAACACAACTCTAAATTTCAAATACCATTTTCACTAGAAATTTTTTTTCACCATTTTTTGGAATTTTACAATTTTTATGTCCAAACTCCTACTAAGTGTCATAATTATAAATATATGAGAAGTTGCAACTTAGGATACACTGGTAGCAAAATGAAACGGAGAACAGATAATGAATAAATTGGTCTAGCTGGAAACTAATGGTGATTTAGAGGTTATTGATAATACTGGATTATTGGGAAAAAGTTAGACCAACGAGGAGGTCAAGAGCTTGTCCAATGAAAGAGCACACGTAAATGAAACGGAGAACAGATAATGAATAAATTGGTCTAGCTGGAAACTAATGGTGATTTAGAAGCTATTGATAATACGGGATCATTGGGAAAAAGTTAGACCAACGAGGAGGTCAAGAGCTTGTCCAATGAAAGATCACACGTAGACAGGCCTTCGACCATTTACTTGTGACGTCATATAAGGCTAGTGGTAAAGGAATAGCAATTAAAGATTTCGTCTACCTCATGATATTGCCATGTTCCCAATTGGTAGAGTGCTGTATGCTGGTGCATAATTGTTCCTCTAACAGTCACATATTTCTTAGCAATTAGCACTCTGAAATATCATAGGAGAAATAAAACCGAATTGCATTATCTTCACCCAACAGATTTGGTCTTTATTATGTAGTTGAAAACCCAACCTAATTTATTTCTCATACTTCCTCTCTTCTCTACTGTATAGTATTTAAGAAATAGTTATGCAGGACTCTACACATTGTCTTTTCTGTTGGACAGGATTTTTATTTTCACTAATTCCCAGAAAAACATGTCAATTTGTCATTGGTTAGATTGGGTTAGAGACACAGCTCATAAAATTTTAACATCTGGAAAAAATGAATTTTATCAATGTAGTGTAAAATTTTGTAATGTTCACACTTTCAGTTAATTTCTTAATTTTCTCTAGCTTCCTTCCCGTAATGTAATACAATAATCTCCCTACAACTCGAGGTACCTCTCATCCCAATTTATTCTCAGGAAGACATTCTTTTTGTCTTAGATTCTTTTATCTCTGAGCTTTGCTTTGTCCCCTTCGCTTTTAAGTTCATTGTCACTTCGATATTCAAATTGATGCCACAAAGCTTCAAGAATTTAAGACCTATACTTAACACACTACATTATGCCTTCTTTTCTGTCTTCCTTTTTTTAAAGATATATCCTTGGTGTTCTAATTTTATAATTTCTAATTCGCCTTATTTTGAAATATTTACTGGTGCTGTTACTTCATTCCTTTAATTATTATTTTCAGAATTGCATGCACAGGTTTATGCTCTAAACCCCCTTCACTTTCACTCTTCTCTTTCTTCTTTATTCTATTCCTTTCTCCCTTCTGTTATTACTTTGTTTAATCCATAGCTGATACTTGCCATCTTCTTTGAAAATAAAGTAGGGCAAAAAGTTTCTTTCTTTTGCATTTTGCCTGCCAAACGCCAGTGTTTATGTGTTTTTCTTTTAGGTAAGTTAAATGCCTATTAACATGTTAAAAACAAAGTATTTGGGTTTATAACTCAAAAAAAAAAAAAAGGGCGGATTCAAGTGAACAAAATCTTACTTAGACGACATTTGGTGCATCTTTCTTACTTGCACATCTTAATTTCATTTCTTATTTCTGCTTTTTCCTATCTCTATTTACTCCATTTGTTAAATTTTAGCTTTCCCATTTCACTATATAGGCCTCCCAACTCTATAAGGTGAAAATATAAGCTTATATTATTGGATAACATGCTTCTCCCAATAACTCTTCAGAAAAGCAAATGAGATTCTCAAATTTTTATGTTTTATTTTGAAAATATAAACTTCATTCACTCAGCATCCAGAAGATGCAAAGGATTAGAAAAAAGAAGTAGCTCCTACACATTGTCTGATAACTCCTAGCAAGAGATAGGGAGCTTATAAAATGCAAAGAAGTGTCAATATTATTATTACATTACAGAGCCTACTCCAAGCAAAAAGATTCATCAAAAATCTCTAGCCTTCAGGAAGTGATTAGGAGTTGAAATCCCTTCAAAACAGTAGTGGTTTCCTTCTTTGCAAATGCACCAGATGATCACTGGCAGAAGTCAGAATCATCTTCCACATGTTTATGGCTTTCAAATTCTTAATTCATTTGATCACAAAAGTTAAAAGTGTTAGATTTATTTTTTATTTCTAGAAAAAAGATTTGTTGTAATTGATTATACTAAGTACACGCGTAATTGAGTCCTAGATTTTATTACAGCATAAATTTTGATAGGCATTTCTTTTTGGTAACCTAGAAATCTGATGTCTCCAGTCTCGAAACTCGGTGGATAATGAACCTTCCCCATTACCCTTCTCTACTTAAACACCACACTTGATTTAACTGTTATGATTCGAAACTCATGACATGCGCCTACCACACGTTCCCCCTTATACTACCTTTGCTATTGAACCAAAGCACTGGGAGGCACGAATTATGGTGGGCATTATTGTGCAGCCAATAATGTTTTCTCAACTATACAGCATTTTGTCCTAAAGATGGAATATTACAACTTAAACGGTTTAATATCTTTCTGCCACCATTTTTCCACTTTTCGCAAACATATTTGTGTTCAAGATTGTTTTCTTCCTGTCACTGTTAAATCTTTAAATGAAATAAGGGCAGAAATATGTTACCTAATATTGCTTCGTCTCCCCCAAGTTTCATCAAAACAGCATGTCAATATTTACCTGAAATCCATCAATTTATGTTTTCTTGGGGGTGGGGTGCATTTTACCCTATTTCTCATTTAACTTGACTCTTATATGTTATATTCTTATGACAAAAAATATATTTTTCCAAATTCCTGAATAGTCTGTAGAATGATTAATACCATTTTCCCTGGGATAAAATGGTCCCTTGTATTAGGAGAGAAAGGGTTCTTAGGACGACTCGCCAAAATATATTTTTTCTGCACCCAAAAGACATGATAGAATGAGGATGATGCCTCCTCATCCCACCTCATCTGCCAAACCAATTATGCACTAAAGATTGAAGGCTTTGTTTAGTTATCATTAAGATTATCTACTAACCAATTCCAGGACGCAGAAGCCAGGGAGAGTAAAAGGCTAGAAAGACCGATAACACATACATAAATTACGACACTGCAGGATAGATAAAAATAATTAGAAAGAGACGGCAATCATTTGTTAATAAGGTAGAAGGAGATAGTAATCATTATAGAAAAAATTGGTGATATGGCTACCTTGTTGAGACCGGTAAGCAGAAATGAGACAAGCAAAAGCATTAATGCATATATTCTACAAATATAATATGATGAGGAAACTTAAACTAAATTTAAAGAAAATATGGATACCTTGATCAAAGGGCTTTCAAATTACCAACAATTATTTATAGGAAGAAATTTGAACAGACATGTTGGTAGATACAGTAATGACTTCCATAGACTATGTCACAATATATTTACGGTACAAACAAATGAATAAGGGAATGCTATGAAGAAAAATTATTTCGTATGACCTATAGACTCTAAGAATCAACACGAACTACTTAGCGTTAGCTAACAACAAAACACAATGAACATAAAATATCTATATAGGCTATACTAATGTGTTGGGAGACTTTAACAATTGTTGTTATATTTGGGACAATATTTGTTAAGTCCTTTTACCTGGATCAAGACCTAGCTTGTATAATGATAAATATGAGATTGAGAGAAACATTAAGTTTCGAATCACGATACTTGCCTTAAAAAATTTAATATAGTATCGCAATGAAATGAACCAAAATAATGTGAAATGGATACACAAGCTTCATAAATCCAATCTGAAAAATTCCGACAGAGACATAGTTGATTGGTTGATTGATTTATGAACATCAATTCGTCAAGATATGACCTAGATGTCCATACTAGAAACTATTTCCTTCTAGTTATAAAGAGTACTTCGAGTTGAAATGGTATTATAACAACTTAATCAGAGTCAGACCTACATGGGGAGTAGAGGGGTCACTGAAACCCGTTAGCCTCAGCAAAAACCGCGTATATATATATACATACATACATATATATATATACATATACATTATATATATAGACACACATATACAGTATATATATATATATATACACACACACACATTTGTATATACATCAAAGGACACCTTAAATAATTTTGATGTGCCCCCTCAAACATAAAAGCTGGATCGCTCCGTTCGTTTAACACACTGCATTTGTTTTCTCCTTCACTAGATTACCTAGGTTCAAGACCCAACACCAGCACTATTTTTCATTTTATTTTTTTTCCTCTTTGTATTCAAGATAGTGTACTATTCTGTATTTAGTGCTCAACTTGGGTTTTTTTCCTTTATCTTTTCTAATTTCATGAACAATAATTTAGCACTAGTACATACGCAAAATAGTCTGAAACTCCTTTTGAGAAACATCCTTCTAGACGTCGAAAAGGTTATAGAGAGAGACATAAAAAGATTAAAGGAAATTGGAAGGGGATAAGATATTCCATTAGCAAGAAGTCAATCACCTTCCTTGGTCATCAAAAAAAAGAAGTCAATCACCTTCCTTATCCTAATAACTAAGTTTATAAGCATTACCATTTTTTGAACGGTATGAAAATAAGCAATTCATCCAAATTTCCCCCAAAAACAGTGATAACCAAAAAACCTTCTGCCTTCAAGGATTACTTCGGCAAAGTAGCAGACATCCGTCGATTCAACGACGACTGAGACTGGTTGGACTGCTTAACATACTTTTAATCTTGATCTTATTTGACTAAGTGTCTTGATCTTATTTGACTAAGTGTTTGATATTTTTGAACATCCTTTCGGTCACTGACTCATAGTCATTAAGTTTTCAAGGAGTTAGCATTCCAGATTTTATCATAACTAGCTGACATATCTATGCTAGAGATAGCGGTGCCCCGCGCTCAAATCCTGGGTTAGCCTTTGCTTATAACAGCCTAGAAACGGGGAAGCAACTAAAACTGTAGTAAGCCCCCAAAAAATTATTAAATTTGTGTAATCCAGCAAACGAATCTATCAGAAAAAGTAGCAAATCAAGCATAGAATCAACAGATAAAGTGATAGTGGAACATGCAAAAAGAAAAAAAGAAGCTTGCCTTTCCAAAGATGATAAGCCAGCAATCATCTTTCTTGTTGTGCTCCGCCACCTCATTAAAAGCATGAACTTTGCTCATCGTTGCCGATCACCGGATACAATCTAATCAAATGGGAAAACAAAAAAATAAACCTAGAAATTGTAATTAAAAGTCAGAAATCCCAATACAGATCATACAAAAAAGAAATGAGATTGAGACAAGATGCAAAACAGAAACTCAGCTTGCCTCTGAACTTCCGCCCACCGCCAACAGCCCCACGCTACTTACAAAATTTTGTATTAGTCAAACTTGGTAATGTGTTTGGTCTATTATGGCCGTTTCCGCTTTTGTTTATTACGCATACCAATACCCGATCCCAATGAATTAGGATACTTATTTTAGGCTGGTTCACGCAAGAAGCTTTTACTGACGTTTCCCTTTCTTTTTTCATTTTATATCAGAGGTAGGTGGGAAGATATCATCAATAGTGCTCTTATTTTCTCTTTTCTTTTTAATTTTCTGGTCAATTTAATTCTTACTGACATCTTCTTATCGTAAATTCCATTAAATTCAAATACAAGTTACGTAGTTTGGTACAATTTTTTTTTTTATTTCTTATTCATATTTAACTTATTCGTTAAATTATTTTTCTTTCATTTTCTATCAGTAAATACAGTTCAAGTAAATTGGGACGACAAGAAATGTGTGTTAAATAAAGGAATTTTTACCTTCTATAGTAAAGGTAAACACCTTATTTATTTTAAATAAATACCATTTAAAAAATTATATTCTATAAATATCTTTTAATGTTTATAGCAAAATATCTAATTTTGGTTACCTCCTACTCTTAATCCACTATATACGCTATTCAGTTACAATATTTTATTTCTCTCACTACTTTGATACAACTTTTACCTCAGATTTCTCAGCTCTCCAATTCCTTCACCCACCATCGCCAATATTAAACCATAAACCCTTCAGTTGCAAAGCTAAAAGCCGATGGTTCTCCAGAAAGCCTTTCACTCGAGAGATAGAAAGCTGAAACGGGGAGCTAATGTCTTGGTATTCCTGCAAAGACAGTCTTTGATTTCCTGTGTGTAATCATAAGTGTCACACCTCCTTTTTGCGCGCCCGCCCCGAAGGGTAGAAAATGCGCGAGGGAGTTTTTCCAATTTAAGTGACAATATTCGAAATGGGATTATTTATTTAATTCAGAGTCGCCACTTGGGAAAGGTTTGGCTTTTGGTGTCCCAAGTCACCGGTTTATCTTGAATCCCAAATCGAGGAAATTTTCGACTTTTCCAAATAAAGTCTGCGAACCAGAAATTCTAAGTAGGGAATTCTGTTGACCCGAGGGAAGATGTTAGGCACCCTCGAATCCCATGGTTCTAGCACGGTCGCTTAAATTGTTATAAAGGCTAACTATCTGATTTTAAATACATGTTATGACTTACGTGCTTTTATTAAGTTTAAACCGCTTTTATAATTATCATTTTTTTTAGAATTGCAACGTCGTGAAAATGCATCTCGAACCACATCACAATCAATGCACCCGTGGTCGTCGACACATTTTGACTCCGTTGAGATTCGGATTTGGGTCACATCAATGTGCACCCGTGTTTAAGAAGGTTAAATTATTAAAGGTGCGCCTAAAGCGACTAGCGTATTGTTATTTTGAGAAAGCCGTAAAATTCGCTAAACGGCCTGTCCCGAATTCTAAGTATTTTAGTATATACATTTAGAGGGCCCCGCAGCTTGCTCATTTTTGTTTGTCGAGGCTCGTCTCAACTTTATTTAAAGGATAAACCTATAGTGACTATATTTTCTATTACGTTTGTCTCTAAAATAATAAAAGGAAGAGGATACCAAATTTACTTGTTTAAACAACTACATGCTAAATCTTTAATATGCTGCCGAATCCGCATTTTTGTTTTATTACGTGATTGGTTGTTTATGAGAGTTGCCTCATGACTTGTCTTCAACGACTAAATACAATTGTTAATTGGCTAAGGGAGATGGCGAACAAACTAATAACATATACTAAACTTACATTAAACGACATTCAAATTTGAATTTTAAAACTAGCTTATTTGGGCTTTGATCAATGGGATCGGCTGTTTTATTAGGAAAAAACTACTACTACNGTTTTATTAGGAAAACTACTACTAATTAAACTCAAAAATGCCTATTAGTTTTCCTCAAAAGTCGCCTCATTATTTCGAAATAGTGAATCTATATCGAAACCCATATCGAGCCTATATGAGAACAAGTAATCTAACAAGGGAGTTGGCGTATATGGCCGAACTGTTAACGTAACCACATGAGAATTTGTTTGGGGTACATTCATCCTGAAGTCAA